CAACTCTGAGCAGCAACCACCCGTCGTGCACTTAATCGGATGTTGGACATCCATAGACTGCGGCTTTCTCGACGTGCGGTGTTTACCGAGGCATACAGTTGCTTTTAGGGGGCGTTTTAAATCGTCATTATTTGCTTTGTTCTCTGATATAAAATCATCGGACCACCTACCGCCACCCAATTTTGGTGGTCACTGTCGTTTGAGTGACAAGCACTACACCTATCCCTGTGGAGCCCTATGAACGTCTCACGCGAAGTCCCAGGACTTATTTCACTGGTCATCGCTGGATAACAATATGTTCTTATGACCATGGACTTCGTTGTTCAAGCGTTTGTTACAAAAGGGAACTGACCTGGCACGCCGGTATACAGATCGTGAGAGAATTAATCATATAGGTGAATTAGAGTTCTTAGTTGGGTACCTCCTGACCAACCTAGTCGATGATTAGGAACACTGAATGATACGGCCGATACAACCGTAAACGGCGTCAATCGTGCAATTACGCCATTTCTACGCAGATCTTGTTTACGTGGTTGTTATAATTTTTACTTGTTAATGGCGCCATTTACTCCTTCCTTATTGGTTGATCGAATAGGCTGCCGAAAGACTAAAGCAGAACAGTACAAGGTTAAGTATTGTTAGAACTGAAGCGTTACCCGTTATTCACCTTAAGTTCTCCCCTACTCACACAAAACACGCTAGAATTCAAGCTGCCCACTGAAAACCCTGTAGGCTGCTAGTACCGGAAACGCCATTCGGTTTTATATCGTGTACCCTTTTCAATCACTACAAAAAATATGTACATGCGAAACTGGAACGAATTTCACGGGGAACAATTCGTTCACAGACAGCGCAAAAATATTTCACAGTAAAAGGTTAAGAAGAAGTTCACTGTTACCCTCTCTCTCTGTGTATGTGCTTATACGAGATAGCATTTGTCAGCATTCAGAGCACGTGGAAAGATGGGAACGACAGCGTGACATTTCAACCTGCAATTGGTAGGTAAGTTCTGCGAGAATTCTTTCTGCAAAGTGGTCACAACTAGATAGGTCATAATCTGAAAGTTTCACGACTAATTAGTTTACGGAGAATAAGGAAATGCGGCCGCGACCGCGACGTACTCTTGTTTCTGTAAGCCAGGGAAAATAACTGCAGCAAAATAAAGTAAAATATGGAAGACACACTGGTATATCAAAGTACAAATAACTGACTGGAGAACAGGAAACTGCCGGAGTTTTCTAATTTACCATTGTTCGTGGGCGCTATCTTTTCTGTTCCTTGTTTCGCCCCTTGTCGATAGCATGTGGTCCAGGGCTGCGTAATACCTGGCGCGTTTACATGTCGCGAATAGGGAAACGGCCGCAAAGTTATTGGCTTGTTGTGGATAGGGCACTTAGAGCTTTGTGAATAAGGTGGTCGCAGACGAGCAACGACAGTGACGGGGGACTTTTCGCTTTCTGTAAAACGCCACTAGATTTTGACGGCGGTGCTGAAATGTAACAGATGTGATCCGTTCCATCTACTGAAGAGGCCCTTTTCGTAGAAGGTAAATACACCAAAAGGTTAGTTACCGGCTTGTCTGGAACGCGTCTGTTGACTTGCAGGTGGTTCTTGGATGCTAAGAGGTTATATGTTTAACTTTGATTACCAATTTCCAGTGGTATTGGAGATACTACTCTACCCATTTCATAATGAAGACAAATCCTCGAAAAGGATTGTGTCGTATACAAGTGCTCGATATCGCATTAGGGCCGCACAATTCTTCCCGTCATTCGCTTGAATGTCAACCAGCTTGCCACCAATCGAACCACGCCGTCAGTATCCTGGTTTTCGATGCCACGTTGTCATCATACAGTCGTACCCTTACTGTCTCTTGCGTTCTCATTGCTATTAGTTCGACACAGGTTACTGGTTTAAACATGCAGTATCTCGTTCCGGTTCACCGTTCGACAGTGTGTCAACTGGACCTAGTTCATTCAGTTGTGTACGAATCATGTTTATTGTAATCGTTGCTCTCCACCATGTTTCCGCGACCGTGCCATGGAAGCAGCCAGTGATCCGATCTTATTTCTACTCATCCTGATTAGTGACAAGATTAGACCGGTTTATTTTGTCATTGCAACAGTCAGGTTTCTTTACCTACTAACGATTGACAACACCCGGAGTCTGTGATGTTTCTGTACTACTGATCTTTTTCTCTGACTCGTTCGCCCGGGGTGTTGCACCCGATTGCAATTTTTCTCCGTTTTCACACGAGATTTTCATGTACTCGAAATGACACTGTCGTGTTACCCGTGTGAGTGTTTGCGCTTTGCGTAGCTGGCAAACCGTTTGTACTTCCATTATCAATCATGTCTTAGCTGTCCTACATGCGGTGGTACTCCGTTAGCTTTCACGTTACATTGTTCTGCCCGACCACCACCCCATACCCACCCGGAACAAACTAGGCACATAGATTGTAAACTCTAGAAGAAGGAGTTTTGCCGAGACACAGCAATCAGCTTTTGCTCACGGAAATGCTGAGTTAATTACCGTACAAACTGAAATCCGAAAATTTCCATTGATTTGTCAGCAGTTTTTTTAAAAACAACCTAAACTGCACAACTGGACATCTTCGGTCGTCAGAGTCTATCCTTAATTCGGGTTATTTTTTCGCCGGGTTTTTGTTGGTCAGTTGCTTGATTATTATTTTTCTTTCACATGAAATACCTGTGTTCTGAACAACTTATTTTTTTAAATAAACCTGCTCTATGATGAAGAGTTTTTCACACAATATATCATGTGCACACAAACACAATACAAATCAACTAATTCCTCTTTCAAAAAGCGCATTTGAGCCGAATAATTCTGTTAATCTGTTGCATATCTGTTTATTTAGAACCTTTATTTATTCAGGTAACCAATCAAATAAACTCCTTCAATGGACAACATTGTTCATTGAAAAATCTATTCCAATTGTTCTCCTTTTGTGGTGTAAATATGTCTTGTTCTTTTTCGGTCCACATCCCTGTGCACGCCACGTAGCACTCATCATTCGTTCATCGATTGCGTTCCCCACCATACACCGTCCGTCTTCTCTATACGGCATTCTCGATCCGGAAGGATTGCATGTTTTTTTTCAGCGAATACGTCGTAATTAGTCAACCAGTGTAGAAATGCAATAGCCGTAGCAACCAACGCGACAACTACCGAAACCTCAAACAGGGATATGCTTGTTATCACCCCTGCACTAGGATGCTCGAATTGCTGTTGCTATCTTTCAGTCATGCATCTGATCACCTATTCATAAGAGGAAGAATAGTACCAAATAAGTGCGTTACGAAGACAAAGCTGTGGATGTTTAGCGCCGAAAGTACATGAATGTAATTCAGAAGATGCACGAGCACCGTTGTTCAGGACTAAACCGTGTGGGATGATGTATTCAACTTTCAGCTGGTGTAACACAGGAAAGTCTACTTCGATCCATGTGAATGTGCTGGTTGGTTGGTTGGTGAAGTTTTTTCTACCTTTGTGAACAGATTATTAACTGAAAGGTCGTTTTCTTCTCCCTGATCCAGTACCTGTATGATCAGTCACCACAAACCGAGTTTGGCGTTGCATCTGTAATATCGAGTATGCCCGACTGTTCAGTGTAAAAATTGGTGGCGTCTTTCTAAGATTGGTCTCAGCGTAAGGACTTCGTCGATCCAACCTTTCCTCGCAACGGAAGCCATCCTGCTTTGGTCGTGTTTTTGCGTTACGTTTGGTAAGAAAGCGGTTCAGCAGAATACTTTATAGATTTTATATGGAACACCATCTTCGCTGAGGAACTTCTTGGTTTTTATTGCCAAGATGTCGGAAAGAATTTCCGATCCGTTAGATGGGCTAATTTTATATTATATTGCTGTGTACTGTCGAGTGGCACTGAACAGCTGTTATCATATTTTGGTCTTGCCTCAGTCATTTGGTTCCAACGGAAAACAAGCTCAGTGAGGAAGTGTTCTTGTTATTAGTCAACCCAGTTTCTTTGTCCGTCATTCAAGATCAAACTATTACCTGCACATGGGTTTTTTGTAAAGACATTCATCTTGGCGGATCCGCATAATGATTGGAGCATGCAACAAGAGGCTGCTCAGTTCGGAGTGTTCCTAGAAATGCCTGTGAAGTGTAAGTTCATCTCTCCAGAGCAAATCAAAAATAGAACTTTTCTCGATGCTTGTAGTTTATTTTTCCGCTGACATTACTGTTTGTTTTCACTTTTACGTGTATGTGTACGTTTCTGTTCTGAGAGAGGCTGGGAACCGATCTCCCCAACCTTTACAGCTATTGCCAGTAACACCGACACCTGGCGTGTCAACTTTGTGCCTCATTCGATCAGTGAGATGATCCAAACGTTCCAGG